GGGAAGAGTCCAGGGCTCAGGCCCTGCAGGCTGCAGGGGTGGCAGGGAGCCCAGGCGGGGCAACAGCCTCAAGAGGTCAAGTCTGGAGTGTGCATGTCCTCTGCCTGCGCATGCCTGGGGCAGGGCAGGGCCTGGGAGGCTTGGGAGACACGGGCTTCTGCATGCCTCTCTGCTGAGGTCTGGTGCAAGGGTAGGCCAGCCAGAGTTCTTGGGTTACTATTGGCTGAGCACAGAAGGCCTCCAGTGGAGGGACAGAGGGCTCTGGCCTTGGAGCATGTGGGTGCTCAAATATGTGCGGACGTGAGCAGCTCTGTGGTCACTGGCCTCTGACTGGCCAGCCCTGGTGCCAGGCCTGACATCCCCCTCCTCCCACCTGGCTCCTGGAGGCCCATAGACAACCAGGCTCCACGGAGGACTGAGCAGAGGCAAGGAGGGACTTCTGGGATAGAAGGGAGGGGTCATTGTGGATGTCTTGTTTGCCTCCTGATTAAAGAGACACTGTACAGGGCCTGCCAGAGTCACTGGGTGTGTTGACCTCAGGGTGGGTGTACTTGCCAGGCTGGGGGCAGAGGTAATAGGCTTCTTGTGGGTCCCCATCCCTGCCTGTCTCTTGCCAGTGGTGGGGCCTTGGGCAGGCTGCTTCCCTCCTCCCTAAAGAAGTTCTGAGCTCAGACACACTGCTGGGAGTGGAGAAGCTTCCTTTGTAAACTGTAAAGTGCTGCTGGACTGGAAGGTAAGGGAAGAGCTTCCAACCAATGATCTGATGACCTCAGCTGGGCAAGCAGAGAGGTCCCAGGGGACAGGCAGGTGTCTGGGCTGCAGCCTCTCTCTGTCATGCCTCTCAGGCCAGTAGCCCCCTGGGGCGAGAGTGTGCATCTGAGCCTGGTCCCCACCCTGGCCAGGATATAGGCTGTCAGTTTGGATTTTGCAAACTGCAAAGGATGTCCTCACGAGATGGGTTATTACTGTGACAAGTTGGGTCTGATAGCTCTGGGAAGCAAATCAGCAGCAAATGAGCTGCCAGTCTCCCTACAGACATCAGGCACAGGGTGGGAACATGATGTCAGCGGTGTCACTGGGACGCCTTCTCATGGTGAGGGCCAGCACTCACAGCCCTTTCTTGGAGAGACCCAGAGACACAGGCCAGCCTGGACCAGCACCTCTGGCTGCAGGGAGGCCCCCTGCACAAGGTCACAGGGATGACCAGCAATGGCCCTGGCTTTGTGGCCCCTCCCAGAAAACATGCTTGTAAGAAGCCTGGTTCTGTAGCAGCCCAGTTGGCAATTCTGAGAGGGACATGTGTCAGTGACAGGGAGCATAGCATCCCTTCCAGGTGCCCCAAGGGACTCCTGGGGAGCCAGCACCTGGAGCCTGCCTTGTCCTGTTCACTCTGGTCTGGCATTCCATCCATACCTGTCATAGGGCACCCAAGGGACATCCCCTCCCATTCACTCATGTCCAGTCAGGGACAGGAAGCTCCCTGCTGCAGGGGCAGCTGGCCCACGTGCAGGAGGAGGATGGAATGCAACAGTGTCGCTAATTGCTGAAAGGAATAGAGAAGACCAGAAATTGTAAAGATGTGAACAAATAGGAGACTGTATTTTTTACTTAAAAATGTTTAGGCATAAATAATAGAAATACATGGAGATACTAGACAAAGGCAGAGATTAAAATTATATGATAATATACTGGTGTAAGACATCGTCTAGATGTGAATGGTGATTATGATGTATCAACCCGTTTTCTGTTGCTAAAACACAATGCTGCAGATTGAGTGAGTTATGAAGAAAAGAGGTTTATTTTGACTCACTGCTCTGAAACTTCATCTCCCCCAGGGCCCCCAGTACTGGGACTTGAACTCAAGACCTTAAAATATTCATATCCCCAGCCTCTTTTTAAAATTTGTGTTTTGAGACAGGGTCTTGCTAAATTGCCCAGGCTGGCCTGGACCTTGAGATCCTCCTGCCTCAGCTGCCCAAGCAGCCAGGATTATAGGTGGGAGTGTTAGTTGCGGAGCAGGCTGAACCAATGTTAGCTGCAGGGTGGGCTGAACACTCGACCCTCACCCTCACCCGTTTGGTTCCTTATCGCTTGTTTGCCTCAAGTCTGAACACTTGACCCCACTCAAGACTGGGCACTCGACTCCACCTGTCTGGTGCAACAGAAACCCAAATTTAGCCCCTGCCCCATCTGCCTGAGGGCACAAGATGACACCCTTCGCAACTACTGTATGATCCAGTCACTGTACGCCAACAAGGCAGCTTGCAGACCCAGAGACCCCGTTAGATTTTGGCTATAAAAACTCCCTCCTGCCGGGCCCCTCTCTCTTGCTCTCTCTTTCTTCTTTCACTTTCTCTCTCTCTCTCTCTTTGCTCTCTCCTTCTCTCTTTCCTCTCTCTCTCTCTTCCTTCCCTGTTAACCAGACACGGTTGCAATAAAGATCTCTTGGTCACTCCAAGTGTCATGGTCACTTTCCTTTCAGGGAGCCTCCACACCCGCAAGTGTCTGCCCTCTAACTCACCTCAGGGGTTTAAGGTTTTTGTTTGTTCTTCCTATGGAGCTGGGGACTGACCCCGGGCCTTGTCTGGGGCCGTGAGGCCAGACTCTACCAACTGAGCTGTATCCCCAGCCCAAAGGGGTTTAAGTTGGAACACATGAAGTCCTGGGGGATGCACCCAAGTTATATCCGAACCGCAGTGTGGGGTTTGTACCTCTGTAGGAATCCATCAGGCTCATACCTAAGACCTGTGCAACTTGTTGAATGTTGTCACGTTATGCCTGTCAGTGACGGACAGAGGGACTCAGTCCATCTCTGTGGGAGGTCCAGGGCTCACAAATGGAGCAGAGATTCACGCCTGTCACTGGCCACCCAGGAGTCAGGTGGGTCCTCCTCCTGGCAGAGGTGGAGAAGAGATGGTGGGTGGGGCTGAGGCCCAGCCCCTTTCCTGCCCAGGGGACAAGGCAGGGATGATGGCCTTGTACGCAGATGTCTGCTGCAGCCTCTGTCAGTCAGAGGAGGGGCCCAGAAGCCAGGCCTTCCGGTCCTGGGCCTGGGGCTGGGGTGCTGGCAGGCTGTCCACCGGCTTCCTGGACCCCTCTCCTGTGGAGAGGAAAACCAGAACATCCGTCTGGAAGGGACTCCTGAGTCAGCCCATTCTCTGCCGCCATTTCACAGGGATGGGACCTGGAGCTCAGAGCAAGTGAACTCCAGAAACTAGACTTGATATCAGGCTTCCTTCTTGTACCATGGCAATTGCCTTGGACCTCTGCCTCCCTGGACAAAGCTAGAAGATCCCACAGCTATCACTCTCTGCTCTTTTCTTAAAAATTCCCATCCCACCAGTGCCCTTGCCTTTTTAGCCCTGAGGAAAGCAATGGAGGGAGCTAATTCATACTAAGGTGTGAGGGACCGATACTCACTTAAATCCTGGTTAAAAGGGCTTGCATATTATCTACCACCCAGAAGCCATTGTAACAGTGAGATCTCAGCACAGCAGGCTGAAGAGACATACTTGTGGGCCAGGGCAGGCAACAGTGAGCAACGGGTGGTAGACTAGAGGGAGCAGGGTCCAGGGGAGAAGGAGGGCCCTGCTGTGGCCCTAACTCACTGGCTCATCTTGGATACATTATCTGACCTCTGGGCTGCTTCTAAAACAAAGGCTGAGTGTCCTAGCCCTTTCTACCTAGATCCTTCTAGTACCTTCTAGTGCATATTTTGAGGGCTGAGAAGTTACAGAGGCAGAGGAACCCAGGTCAATAGGAGGTGGGGACCTGGGCATTTGAGCTGCATAGCAAGGTAAGTGAGTTTGTGCATGTGAAGGTTTAGAACACAGAGCCCGAGACACAGAAAATGCTCAGTTAACGAGGAGTCTTCTTTTTTTGGTACCAAGGATTGAACCTAGGGGTGCTTAACCACTGAGTCACATCCCCAGCCCTTTTTATTTTTATTTATTAATTTGGAGACAGGGTCTCACTGAGTTGCTTAGGGCCTTGCTAAGTGGCTGAGGCTGGGCTGGAACTTGGAATCCTCCTGCCTCGGCCTCCCGAGACACTGGATTACAGGTAGGCACCAGGGCACCACCCGCACCTGGCTTGGCATTAACATTACTGTTAATGCTCTTACTTCACCTGAGAGATCCTGCACAAGACACTCAGCATTCCCTTTTCCACTGTCAAGAGGAATAATGGGTCAGTGGTTAGCACTTGCCTAACATGCTGTAAGCACAAGGTTCCACCAAAAAAAAAAAAAAGAGAGAGAGAGAAAAGAAAGAACAGGCCAGTCCGTCGGTTCCCCGGCACCCCCCACCTGGCAGTGCCTGGCTCCCAGTGCCGAGGTCACAGTTGTTAGGTGATGATCATTGCCTGGGCCTGGAGAAGCAGGAGAACCCAGCGGGGCACCGTGGCCACTTCCCACAGCCATGTGGACCTGTTGCACTGTCCCCTCACTGCAGAAGCACTGGACGTTGCCCAGTGACATAGTGACAGCAGGCTGGGGTCCTGAGAGCCCTAGAAGAACCTCACCCTGGCTTCCCAGCCATCCCCAGTGAGAGTCCCAAGCCCCCCTCTCCTCTCCAGCTTGGGGGGTTTCAAGTGGTTTTATTTCCAAATTAAATAGAACAAAGCCCACTGGGGGGAAGGACATGGCTCTGACAGCAAGCTGACTGACACAGAGCCACGGGGACACACAGCTCCCTAAAGGACCAGCGGGTGGGAGGGGTGCAGGGCCCACCTGGGAGGCACCCGCCTTCTCTCCTGGCCCTGGGCTGTGTTGCTCCCCCTGGGAAAGGCTTCCCAGGAGAGAAGCTGACCGTCCAGAAGCAAAGAGCTCACATGTAGCAGCAAAGGACCATCAAGGTCTGGTCAGGACAATCTTTGGCCACATTTGACCCCATGTGTCCAGATCACCTTTGTCCCTCCAGAGCCCAGCGGCAGCCTTAGAATAGCCCCCCCTCCCGCAACCCTCCTCCTCCTCCTCCTCCCCTCCCCCCCCTTGTTTCTTCTACTGTATGACCCACTTCAGGGCCAGCAGCCTGCAGGTACAGAGGCCAGGCAAAGGTTCAGGGCCACAGTTTGCTTCTGTATGGGACCCTATGAGTGGTCCAGGGGAACCCCCTAAATCCAAACCCACGCATCAGGATCCTTCTTGACACAGTGCTCCCCTGGGCTGTGGGTGGAGACTGACTCTAGTCCTGACAGGGTCTGTTCCAGTTCATCCCTGCAGCCCAGGAAGGGGGTGACCTGGGGGGAAGCGCAGCCAGATCCTGATCCCCAGCACGGCAGCGAGCCTGGATATTGGGGAATCAGCAGGGGCTCAGGTGCAGCGGGGACCTTGGGCAGGCAGCTCTGCCAGGGGCGGGCATGGGTCCTCAGTTCTCTGGAAGACGGTGCAAGTCCGGGTGCCTGCTGCCCTGGCCGCCCTGGACAGCTGAGCACCCACACCTCTTTCTTTCTTTGCTATTATCTTTCCCGGTGGATCGCAGGCTCAAGAGTGTGGAGGGTTGTCGGCCTCTCTCATGCATGGTAGCGGCCACCAGTATGGAGTGTTGTGAACACCCCGGGGTCGGGGGGGGTGCAGAGAAGATGGATGTATGTGTAGGAGGAGATGGGGGCTGAGCTGGAGGTGTAGTGGAGGGGCTGCAGGAGGGCTGGACCTGCATTTAGGGAAGCTGCCCTCTCCCACCCCCACGTGATGGTCCTGCTTACCAGAGGGGGTGACTGACCTCCCACTGGCACAGCAGGAGAAGAGGGACAGAGACAAGAAGCAAAGAGTGCAGTGACCAACCTGCACAACAGACCCTGACCACACTCCAACACAGAGACCTGAATACTGGCCTCACCCCTACGCTCTTTCCTCTCCTTGGGGACCACTCAGTGTCCCCCATTCTCTGACCCAGTTCCTCCCTGGTGTTCCTCAGCCTACAGCTGCGTGTGGAGCCTTGACAGCTTTTATGAAACCACCTGGTGACAGGACTGGGCACGGTTCAAGGGTGACTCTCGCCTCTGTTTTGGGTGGGATACCGTTTTTACATGTGTCCTGGGTAAGGAGCAATAGAGGAAGGCACATCTGATCATGCCTTTGGTGTCCCCACACTGACCCATAGGATCTGAGCAGCAGATCGCCCTGGGAGCCGGGAGGATCTGGCTTCCTGGCTGGTTGACCCTCTAGGCTTCCCGGGGCTGGGCAGCTCTCCGACCTCCGTGGTAACATCCTGTCACTCAGAAACCCCAGCGATCGCTGCAAACAAACAAACAAGGGAAACAGGCAGAGGAAACACTAATGAACAGCCACTTTAATTACCAGCAAAGCACATGGGGTCGCATTCCGGGAATTGTGTTTATGTGCTGGGGACAGGACCCAGGGCCTCCATGCTGGGCAGCTCCACCAGGGAGCTCCAGCCCGGTCCCCAGGGAATGCGCTTGAACTAGAGGCCCCTCCCAGGAACAAAACCACCTCTGCCTCTGCCAAACTTGGCTCCACCAGCAGCTTCTTGCTATTTGCTCTTTGGAGACTCGCATCCTAGAAATATTAATTTTTTTATTATCTTTTATTTTTTATATTTTGGTGTTTATTTTGTTTTTTGAACTACCACCAGCAGCAGCAGCAGGACAGGGGGATGGGACCTGGAGGCTTTCTCCTGTCTGGTCCCCTGGGCTGAGTCTTTGCCTGGGGACTGACTCAGGGTACTGGGAGGGAATAGGGCCATGGGACAAGGTGCAAGGCAAGTGTGCAGGTCGGAACGTCCACAGGACAGCCACCAGGATGCATTCCTGGGGAGGTCGGAAGGACCAGGTCCAACCCCCCAGTTCCAGGGGAGGAGCCTGCTGCAGGGTCCCTGCAGGAGTTGCCCAGCCCTGCTGAACACACGGGGTGGACGGGGTGGGCAGACACCCCTGTGCACCCCAGACTGAGGGTCTGCACTGTCCCCTGGCTGAGAACCAAATAGAAGAGACCCCAGGCATCAGCCCTCTTGGGGGAGACTGAACCCACCATGGGCACCACGGTAGGACTGGCTGGTGGGGTGTCAATGCTGGGGGAAGTCATAAGAACCCCGAGAGTTAGGATGACACATCCGGGGACCCAGAAACAGCCAATATCTACATCCTGAATAGGAAATTCAAAAGATGCAGGGCAAGAGCCGAGAAATCATCGATGATTTGGGAGAAGGAAACATTTCATCTTAGACATTCGATATTGCTTAAGTGTGTGTGTGTGTGTGTGTGTGTGTGTGTGTGTGTGTAGGAGATTTGGAGAGTTATGTATCATCTTTATTAAAAAAATAAAAAATACTAAAAAAAAAATACTACCCGAAGTAGTTACCTTTGGGGAGAAATTTATTTGGGGGAGGGGGGAGGTAAGAGATACATTAGCATTGTCTCGATTTTTTTTTTTTTAATTTGTAACAAAGAGACGTTCTTGGGCAATTAAAAATAATCTTTAAAAAATAAACGAAACAAAGGTATTGTGTCCAACTACAACTAAAAAATAAAATAAAAAACAAGCCTGCAGCTGTGGCTGTGGCTCCTGGCCTGCCGGCCCTCCCCTGCCTGGGGCTCCGCTGGCCTGGGGAAGGCAAGCCCGGTGGGCAGCGGGCGCAGTCCTGCAGAGAGCTCTCTTGCTGGCTTCCAGCAGGGCTGGGCCCAGGGAGGCCGGCAGCCAGGACAGCGGGGCTCCAGGGGCACCCAGAGCCCAGCCACCTCTACTCAACCCTGATCCCCGCCCCACAAGGGCAAAGTACCGCCCCCACCCCAGGCTCCCCGCCCCCACGCCCCTTTCTCAGGCTCTCAGGAGCTGGGTGAACTTGAGTCCCAGCGCAAGGGGCCTCGCCTCTGCCCAGGCTGAGGCCAGACCTCCCTCCCTTGCCTGTCCCCTCACCTCCCCAGGTCCCCAGGCTGAGGGACATGTGCAGGGGTGATCCTCGTGATTGGGGGCGGGATCCTGCCGCTCCCCGCTCTACGCCACCCCCTCCTCGGTGGCTGGCGGTGGCATTGTGCGGCTCCCTGCCCTGCCTCCCTCCCGTCTTGTCATGTGGATCTGGGTGGCTGTCTAAGGCTCTGGAGTGCACCCAGCTTCCCTGCGGGGTGCCGAGCCGGGCTCTGTCCCCAGCAGCTGGGGACCTCAGGTGTCCTCTCCGGTGTCTGGGTGGAGGACAGCCAGGCCATGAGGATCTGTGGGCACCTGTTCCCAGGACAGGAGTTCACCAATTAGAGGAGGCCAAGGTGGCCTCCCAGGAAGCAGTTCAAACAGAGGAAGCAGCCTCACCCAGAGATGCTTCATCAGGGCAGTGGTGGAAAATGAGGCTGGCCAGGCAGGTGGGTACCCAATAATGCTGAGCCTTTGTGTCAGTCAGGATGCTTTGACTGTAAGTAACCAGCCAAAGTGTGCAAAGGCATACAATGTCTTATGATGTTATTAACAGAGCCAGAGGGCTGCCAGGGATGGCTAACTTAGCAGCTCAACGTTAGGATCAAGAACAATTTCTTCCTTAGGCTTGCCTCCTCAAGGTCACAAGAGGGCTGCCACAGCACTGGACAACATACCCTCGTATATCCAAAGACAGCGTTGGGGTATTTTTCATGGAAGTCTCTTCCTCCCAGCTTACCTCATCTAGGATTGAGCCCAGGGTAATGCCTTCGCTGTGGAAGGACTGGAGCAGCCAACATTGGGCACCTTCTCTCATGGAAGGTTGCCTGCACCAGTCAGGGAGGAAGGGAGAGGAGGGTCCCTGGGAACGGCCATGCCCAGCTACTCATGGGCTTCTTCTGGACTGGGCGTGTCATCACACCCACCTCACAGACAGGACACTGAAGCCCGGAGAGGCCCGCTCACAGCTGACAGTGAGCAGCAGGAAGGGAGGCCGGGCTTCTGCTGGGCATCCCCTTCCCCCGGGGCAGGGGCTCTGTCCACCGCAGAGAGGCCTTCCCTCGTGGGTCAGGGCACCCAGTGCCCCAGGCTGCCCGCAGACAGACCAGGGGAAAGCGGACCTCCGTCTTGTCCAGCTGTGGCTCATGGCAGAGCTGAACCCCTGAGCCCTGTCCCTTTGGAGCTCTTGGCCATGTGGCCAGGCACCGTCACCATGTCATCGTCACCATGTCATCCCCATGGGACCTGTCAACGCCCACAGGATTCTCTGAGGGTTCTTCATAGGGAAGAAGACCGAGGTCCAGAGCAGTGATATGGTCCATCCAGGGACCCCACAGGGTGCTTCCAGCCACACACAATCCTTCATGGCCATGTCCCCAAAGGGCGAGCAGCAGGCGTTTGTAAGCACACACATCGACCCAGAACCGCTATGGATGTGCCAAGAACGTGCGTTTTCTTCAGTCCCGGGTGATTCTGAAGACCAGAGCTAGCCTGACACAGAGAGGGAAAGTGACTTACCGAAGGTCACACAGCCGGCTGGAGCTGAGATCAGAGCTGAGGTTGGCCTGGTTCCCCGACCGTGCTGGCTGGAGCAGGAGTGGGAATTTGCTCCTGGGAACGTCCCAGGCTGGAGGAGGCGGCTGTGAGGGCCTAGGGTCGTGGCTGGTTTGGAGAGCAGTGCAGATGGTGTACTAAAGGGCAGAGTCTGTCTGTCCTGCCCTGTGGCCAGGGCCATGACTCCCTAGAAAGCTACTGGCCTGCCTTCTCCTCACACTGTCACCTCCACACCCTGCTAAGGCAGGGCTCCTGTGTGGCCCCAGGCAGTCTGGCTGGGGCTCCTGGCTTCTCTCTGGCCTCTAGGCTCTCAGTAGTGAGTGGGGAGAAGACCCCCTGCCCCTCCCTCACTAGGTGGCCGGGGTCAATTGCGCCCTTCCCTGAACCTGGGCCTCCGCCTCTGCTTGGCCAGGGCTGTGGCCTGGGTGGGGACAGTGGTAGAAGTGGGGCTGGCGGGCGTGCCCTTCTCCAGGTGAAGCATTGACCTGTCCTTTCACTTGACATTCAGAACTAGATGGCCCCAGCTTTGTGACAGCCAGACCACGGGGAACAAGCCCAGGGGCAGTTCTGCTTGTGGAGCTGACGCCGTGGAGCCTCCAGAGCCTCTCTTGGGCCAGTGAGTGGAGGAGGGACGGGAGGGGTGTGGGGGGGAGGAAGCCCGGCCTTGCCTGCCCCCTGTGGCTGGTTCCCCACCCCCCCAGGGCTGGCCGGGCCA